TCACCATCCTTGCCTGTTACAACTTATTCTGATTCAGAATGGGGTGGTTCTCTACCGGATAGGAAGAGTACTTTAGGTGGTTGTTACCTTCTTGGCTTAAACATAGTCTCTTGGCTAAGCAAGAAGCAAGACACAGTATCACTTTCAATTGCAGAAGCTGGTTCACAGTTACTCTGGATGACGACCACTCTTTCAGACCTTGGAATCCTTTCTTAAGTCCTCCAAAGCTCTACTGTGATAATCAAAGTGATATAGCCATTAACAAGAATCCTACTTTGCACTGGAGGAGCAAGCACACTGATATCAAATACCATTATCTCAGAGATAAGGTTTAATAAGGGTTGATCAACATTACATATCTGCCAACAGAAGATCAACTTGCAGATATCTTGACCAAGCCATTGCTACCACAGAGGTTTTTAACTCTCAGAGATCTTTTCAGTGTTGCTCCTAATCCCTTCTAGCTCTTTTTATTGTTGGTCCTTTCACCTTTTACTTTCAATGTCAAAAAGGGGGAGAAATGGACCTTAATCAAGGATATATATATCCTTTAGAATGCTTTCATTACTGCTCTATTGATGCATTGTTGTTTATTTAAGTTCCTTGTTGATATTCAAGCATATTTTGGTTTTTGACATTCAAAGGCAAAAGAGGGAGATTGTTGGTCCCACCTTTGAATTAAGGTTTGCCCTTTTAAATGTCAAAAAGTCCATCACAGGTTCTCTACAATGAGTTCCAAGCATTTCTGGCTTGAATAATGCATTGACATTCAAGGGTAGCTTGGTCACTTCACATTGTTGAGAAGACTTTCCAAATGATCTAAGGAAGGTAATTTGTATTGAAGACTCTTCTGCAGACATCTCAAGGTTAAAAACCCTAGCACAGACATTGACATTTTGATACAGAGCTTCTCAGGAGCAATTAGGTCTTTTCACACATGTATTATATCATAATACATTTGGTGTTGAATTGCTTAAATTCAAAAGTGTTCTAAGTGTTCACAGGTTCAGCAGCTGAATTCTATATTTATTGACAATATCTCTGTGAGAGCATTTTGGTCGATGTATATATGCTGAGAACTCTTGTGACATGTGTCTTGTAGTGAGAATAAGCAAGCTGTCATTCTTTGCTTAGTGATTAAGCTTGTGATACATTCATATACATATACATTTTCAAGGCTGTCAATAAAGATGCTTATTGAAGATATTTTCTGAAAAGGTGGCAAGGGTATTATGGTATTTTCACAAGGGAATTTTAGATAATTCCGTGGCCAATGATTGGATATTGGTGACACATACATTTCCTCTTTGAGATAGGATTTGTATTGTTGATGTACTATATATATGCTGCTATAGCCATTTTAGGGTTTTAAGCCTTTGAGTGAACCCTTACAGCTAGGGATGGCAATTTGACCCGCCCCCGCGATTACCCGCCCCGCCCCGTTTTTGGCTGTTTTGGGGGACCGTTTAGCTTATTTGGGCAGGGATTGTTTGATGTAATAAAAACCCGTGCGGGTCTGGTGCGAGGGCGGGGAGAGGTCGCCCCGCCCCATCCCACCCCGTTTAGATCGACAAATTACTTAAGTACCCTTATTTCATTAATATATATATTTCTCAGTATATATATTAAGTACCCTACATAACAATATTAAAGTAACAAATAAATTTGATTAGAAGGAAAGTTGCAATGGTGAAGAACTGAAGATGAGGGGAAAAAAAAAAAGAGCAAATCTATTTCAACAATAAATAAATTATGGTCTAAAACGAGGCGAGGCGAGTACCCGTGGGGGTAAAAGTGTTAAACGGTTACAGGGATGGGGTGGAAAGTCGCCCCGTTTTTGCGGTTTTGGGCGGGGACGGGGACAAGGTTTTTAAACGGTTGCGGGGGCGAGGGCGGGGGAGGGTACACCCGCCCCCGTTGCCATCCCTACTTACAGCAAGCAGAATAATGAGTGTATTGAAAGCTGAATATGAACACACTTTTGCAAGATTATATGTAATGATGAAAGCTTGATTTAAGCTCAGAAATTCATTCAAAGAATACACAAGTGTTGAAGATCAAATGAAGGCCTATAGCTGTGAATTTTCTAGTGCAGAAGTTGGATTCAAGGCCTTAATTTGGTTTTAGCTTGTTGTGGTGCTTGTACAAGGTTGAGGCAAGTGTAATTACATATTTTACATCTGCAGAAAGCATGTTTATGACCATCTTTTTGCTGCATTTGATTTTGATGTCTCAGACCTGTATATCAGCTTGATTTTCTGGTTTAGCGTGTTGATTTGAACTTATCATCACTATATCTTGCTACGAGTTGCATTTCTGGCTTGAATTAAGGTTGTTGAAGTTGAGGATTGAATAGGATTAAGGTCAATACAGTTTTTGACCTTGTGAAACCCTAGTTTTCAAGTTTATGCAGATTTGAGCTTGTAGCCTTGTACTTGAGTAGTATTTGTATACACAAGCTATATTCAACTTGATTATCATCAGAGCATGATTGTAATGCAGATACAAGGCTGTGGATTCCATCTCTGAGGTTATGAGACTCGAAATTCCTATTTTGCCCATCAAACCCTACTTTCAGCAGAATGAAGGCTGAGTGCCTGTTTTGATACTTTAAGCTTGTTTATCACTTTGATCTTGTAATACAACTTAAGTATTATTGATTGTAAACCTTTTCATGTATTGTTTGTGAGCTATGAGTGCTCATTAGATCTAAGCAAGGGTGCTATGGAAAGGGGGAGTGCAGTGTGCACTTAATGTTACTATTGTGTGTGTATAGGCTGTGAAAGCTAGTGTTTCTTCTTGTACAAGGGTGTGTGCAGAGAGTGAACAGCTGAGGATATAACTACTTGCATACAACTAGTGGAGATTTTATTGGCTAAGGCCAAGAACCAAGGTTTTTCCCTATTGAGAGGATTTTCCTTGTAAATGCACTGAGTCTTGAAAGTGTACGTGGAAGCTTGTTGAATCTGTTGTCATACTCACTACATTGCATTGATCATACAAAGAACCCAATTCAGCCCCCCCCCCCCCCCCCCCCCCCCCCCCCCCCTCCGCTCTTGGTTCGTCGTTGTCCAACCATAGTGGAAAATGAAGAAAAAAAATGTCAATCTAGAGAGAGATGTTCTGTTTCTCTTCCTATTTGGATTAAGATTTCGGGGTTGCAAATACATTACTACAATAAAACAGTTCTATCCCAGGTTTGCTCGAAATTTTCTTGTCCTTTATTGATAGAAGAATCTCATGCTCGTGAACGGGGTCAATTTGTGTGTGTTATGGTAGTGGTCAATGTGCATACTCATCTTCCAGAGTCTATCAATATTCTTGTGCGTGGAGTGAGTTGGACTCTTTTTTTGGAATAATGATTGGAGACCTAACTCTGTAACTACTACAAGAGAATTGATCATGAAGAGAAGCGATGACCGAGGAAGGTAATTGACAAACCTAATCCAAGGTCGTGGGTCAATGAGTGATTCAGAAGAAGGGTAAGGAGATAGCAGTGAACAATGATGCTGCTGATATGGCAAAGGGTGTTGAGATCCTCCAAAAGGTTGATCAGATTGGAAATTCAGTAAACATTCTATCTTCTAATCCTTTTGCAGCTTTGAGTGAGGATTGTGATCCTGTAACTAATCCAGTTAATGAAGATCCTCAGTTTCAAGCCACAGATGTTTCAACTGATGCAGTGGAAATTAACTCAGTTCCAAAGGATGCTTATTCTGGTCAGGTTACTGATCCTTTTCCATCTGAATCAAATTTGTTGGTCTCTTCTACTCCAGATGTAGTTCATCCAGTTGGCCATTCTACTCAATTGGAAGGTCCCATTGTTCAACTCCTGAGTCCACTGGGAAGGTTTCTTCGGCATCAAAACCTACTGGGAAGGACAATTTCAATGCAAAATGTAAGTAGACCAAAACAAAGCAAATGCCAGTCGTGACTGAAAGAGTCACGAGAAGCAAAATTGGAGATCTTCCTCTTACCAATCTAGTTCCCAATGATTGGCTCCACAAAGGAAGGTAAGGAATTGCATTAATTCTTTTTCACTTCATCTGGTTTGTGTTTTCTGAATTTTCCTCTAGAATCCATAGAAATTGAAGATGGATCCATAATTATGATTCTCATAGTATTGGCAGAATTTGGATTGGCTGGAACACTTTGATGTTTAATGTTAATGTTTTGGGAGAGAGTCCTCAGTTTCTGATGCTCAAAGTTACTCATCCCAGCTCTCAACAAGTTTTTCACTTTACCTTAATTGATTCTGCTAATTTGTTGAGGGAGAGGGTTATTCTATGGTATGATCTTATTCCGTGGAACAATTTGATTTCTGGCCCTTGGATTATTCACAGGAGAAGAGGGTGGAGTCTCTATTCCTCAAGCAGTATTAGAGCAGTTCAATGATATGATATAAAACTGGTTTTGGGGGACTTACCTTTGATCAATGGTTCATGGACTTGGTGCAACAAGCAGGTCTAAACTCCAGAATCTATGCTAGATTAGATAGGGTTCTAGTCAATACTGGTTGGTTGTTGACTTTTCTTTCAGTGGCAACTCAGCCTAAGCCATTCAAGCTTCTCAAGGGGTGGTGCCTCCAAGAAAATATTGTTCCTTTTATCAACCAAGCTTGGCAGATAAAGGTTTCTGGTAATCTATTTAATCAACTTCAAAAGAGGCTTAGAAATGTTAAACAATCAGTGGAAGGCTAGAAAACATTTTTGGGGATATTGGAGAACAGGTGGAGGCTGCTAGAGTTAATCTTGATGCCCTCCTATCTCTTGTACTTTATTGCTTAGTCTTTTGCCTTTTTCCACTATGTACAGTGAAGGTAAGCCCTCCTATCTCTTGTACTTTATTGCTTAATCTTCCATAAAACATCTCATTTAGGTGGGGTGGGGTGGGGGGGTGAATAGCATCTAACTGAAATTCACGTTAGTTAATTAGTCCAGAAAATTCTGAGATGAGAAGAGACAAATGAAAAACCTTTACTGGCAGAAACTATAACATACCAATTGGAGCATCAAAACTCCGGAGCAACTGAACAATAGACTTCACATCTAAACGTCGTTTGATACTTTTGCCAACTAATACTTTCAAGTGAGGAGAATCAAATACCTACAAGGTGAAAGATAATGCTTTAACTTTCGAAATAAGATTGTAATATGATGAAAAAGATACCATATGTAAACAAGATAAACTGATAGAAGAAAGCCATATTTTTTATGCCTAAATAGTCAGCAATCTGTATCAACAATTCCCATCAACAAAGAACTAAAACAAAATGTCACTCCTAAATTACAGAAGTTCATAATAAAACATTGTAAGTACTCAGCCATTTAAGTTGCCATCTTTAATAATTCAATACAACAGCACCCATCAACCTTTAGAACCTATTAATAATTGGAGTTGTCTAATGATATACCTCAATAAAGTTTTCTCCATATATGTTATGAAATGTGTTGTTCTTTCAAGTGCCCTACTTATATCATTAAACTAATCATGCTAAATCAATTTATAAGATTCAAATAAAATAGTGGACCGCTCAGTAGGATTCAAACCCACATGAAGTTCTGACAAAAATTAAAAATGTATGTTCATTATGTAGGCTAGTAGGGACCCAAAGTAGTTATGCTTGCAACCACAAGAACCTCGGGACTGAGTTAAATCCAAACCAGACCATAGCGAATAAAGATTTCAAACAGAATGGCCCATGTTGAACCAACCAACACTGCCTATTTGTCTTACCTTTGTACATTTAAGATTTTTCCTTCAGTAGTTGTCTATGATTCTAGCAACTCGTGATCCTTTCTTATAAATTTTAAGCTAAATAAAACAAGATTGATATTCATTCATCAAAATCTAAAGCACACTCCTATGTGTTTCTTCTTTGGATATATTATATACAACAAGAAAGCATTTTTTCCAACTACTTGGGGTCCGCTATATGAATCATATTTTATCATTCTGCTCTATCAACGGCCATTACATCAGTCAAACCACATACTATCATATCCTTACTAACTCTACCCACATTAACTTTGGTCTTCCCCTTCTAGCATTACCCTCAACGTGGCCCATGTCACTCTTCTTAACCGGCGCACTTAATGGACTTCTGAGCACATGTGAAAACCTTCTTAATCGATTTTCTCTCATTTTATCTCCAATTGGGGATTCTTTTTTCTTTCCCTTTTTAGGTGGTTGTTTCCACTTTGGAGTTGTTAGATCCTCCAAATAAACACAAACTGGCTGATTTTTGGGTAAGAATTGGAATTATTTCTTCATTCAGTCACATTCAACAAAATTCTACGTTTAGATGGATCGATTTTGGTTCAGTTTGAGGGAACCTCTCGCTTATTCCTCGGCCGGACAATTTTGGTTCATTGTAAAGAGAAAGCCCCAGTATCTTTTTCTTCTTTTTGGTGGCATATAGAACCTCATTAACATTGCTTGTATAGTTGTATATTTATCAACCTTTTTAAGAAATGAATATTTTTAGGAAACAATAACAAAGTTTGGTCAGAGGACCAATAAATGTACAAGTATGCAAAAGTCATTGATTCAAGTTAAGGCGCCACAAGAACAAGAGAAAGGTTACCAACAGAAGAGATGGAAGTCACTGAGAAAAGACATGGTGCTATTATTTTTATCATTTTACTCTCCTGTATTTTTGCAATTTTCTCTATATCCTTCCTTTTCCAAATGTGTCTAATATGAGGATGTGTCTCTTCCATTTTCCCTGTTTCCAGAGAATGATAGACTTCTTTGTCTGCAGTATTCCTTTTTTCTGGTCTTGACTCACTCCCACTTAACCTCCAGCCACCATCGCATAACCACAAACCATTGACTAAAATACCTTACCAGGTCCTTCCTCTACAACTAAAACCTGCAATATTTTCAGCACCAAGCAACCCCACCATGTAGCAAGAAAAGCTCATCAGATAATCCCCCAACGAGAAATGTTCAGCCTTTAGCTATGGCCTCTGTTCCTTCAACTAGTATAACAGCTTTTGCGGCATAGAATGGGGGAACTTAAACCTGGAAGCCTGTGGAAAATAAGAGCTAGAGAATAGAAGAGAATGAATTCTTGTATATATTGTTATAATTTAATCCCTTTCGTATCAACACTGATACAATTTGTTAGGAATTAATCAGCCCAGGATCACACACACAAGTATACAATGACAACAAAGAGAAAATAAGATGGAAATAACACACTCAACAAAGAACAAGGTTTACACACGAATGAAGAACCACTCACTTTTATTACAGAAAAGAGAAGATTACAACACTCAACAGATTACCAAGAGGTATTCCACACACACTCACTAAAAGAAGACACACTCTGTTCTTAAGGAATACACTCACTTCAATAATCTCTCTACTCTTCTTACTCTTTTCTCTCTACTCTTCACTCTCTTTGTTCTTCACACCCATTACACAGTTTATCACTCCATATATAAGCAATGCTACCGACTTCACACCGTCTTTGAAGGAACAACACATTTAATATGCCAACACACCACAACCAATCACAACGTACCTTTTTACTTTTTCTTACATTCCTTAACCATTACTTTTTCTTTGGTCAACCATTTCGGCTCTTATATTTGTATAAACCCATCAAAAGGGATTCTCCAATGTGATTTCCTCTTCTATGGGCATTAGCAAGGTGGTGAAAGAACTTTGTATTCCAGTCACCTTCTTTAGGCCACAAGGCTCTAGACTTTTGTCTCCATGATATTTCCTCCATCATCACAATTTCTTCAAACTCAACCTCACACTCATCCCTCCTATTCACCTCCTTCTCACTGAGACCCTCCACTCCCTCCTTCCTATCCAAATCTGAAATTTCAACTAGAAATCTATTCTTACGCCATTCCAGATTGGCAAACACTTCCTTATTCCTAATCTTAACATCTCCCTTCAGTCGCCTAATTTTGGTTGCAAGTTGGAAGATTAGACTGCCCCTAACCTCATAACCAGACCACCAGGCCTTGACCCTTTCTTTGAAGTCCTCAACATGAAGCCACATGTTTTCAAATCTAAACGGAGTTCTTCCTCTCCTCAACTCTCCACAGTTAAGGAGGATGGGAATATGGTCAGAAACTGCACACGCCAAGGCCACCTCAGAAACGTCTGGATACTTCTCCTCCAAATCTCCAAAAACTAAGAATCTGTCCAGATGAGACAGGGTAGGGGATTCCCGCCCACTGGACCATGTGAACTGGCCTCCCTCCATTGGGAGATCAAGCAACTAATGAAACTCAATAAAATCAGAAAAATCAGTCATAGCTGCAGTCCAAGCACCCCTTGAAGATCTTTCACTGGGAGTCCGAATAGCATTAAAATCCCCCCTAAACACCACAAAACTAACCATCTCCTTCTAACAATCCCCAACTCCTCCCACGGCCCTCTTCTCTCCACATCCCCCCCTGGACCATACACTCCAGAAAAGAGCCACTGTGAACCATCTTCCTCCAGTGTAAACAAAAGGGATAAGAATTATCTCCCTTTCCACAAATCAACTTTCGAAACCCACCTTTTATCCCAGAGAACCACAATACCCTCTGATTTAATAACCTCCCAATCCACAAATCTTCCTTCCCACAAACTTTTTATCTCCCTATCTGTTGCGTTAGCCAGTTTAGATTCCGGCAAACATACCACATGCGCCTCCCATTTCCGAACCAGAGCCTTCACCACCTTCCTTTTGTTCGGGACACTAAGGCCCCGAACATTCCATTACACTAGTTTGAGCTTCATGGGCACACAATATCTCTTCCAACCCCCCTCTTTCCCCCACTCCTCTTCTCACTCCCTCCTCCACTCCTCCCCTCATAATTCACATAGGAAATGAGATTTTTCAGCTCTCTTTTCCCCTTCCAGCATAGACTTTTCTTATGTTTCACCAATGCCCACTCATCATTCACCGCTTGGAACATGCCCTGAACTTGCTTATCTTCTCCAGCACATGATAGCCCCAAAAGCTTGCTTTCCCCCTCAATACAATCCATGAACCACACATCATTCGATCCTTCCAAGTTAGATACCCTCTGCACCTCTCTGATTCCCACCTCAAGTAGCCAAGGAGCATTACAACGGCATTCTTCTAGAATATACATCTTTTGTAAGAACTCAACCTTTTAAAAGGAAGAAGTTTTGGGGACCTCAAAACTGCGCTTAGACTTGGAGGGAACTGCTACAAATAAGACTCATATTTAGACCTTGTATTAGACATTCAATGGGTGATGGGAAGACTAGTCCCTTTGGTTTAACTAATATATACTAATAGGCCCTATCCATTAACATTTTTTGGTGAGAGATCATCTATGCCTCAAGTCCTTCCAGAACTGATGCAGTGAGCACTATCAACAGATAACCAACCAATATGTATGGCCAGGTAACAGCCATAGATTGACCCTTTTATCCAACCTCCTTAATAGCCTTCCTCCTTTCCTCTCTTGGAACCCTAGACCAGATTCCATAACTTGGTTTATTTCCTTAAATGGATTGTTCATAACCAAACCTTCTTAGCAGTTCCGTAATGCTCTGGCCTCTAAAGTTCCTTGGAGCTCTCTCTCTTATTTCCCTGATGTGATCCCCAGATTCATTGAAACACAAACTTCCCCTATTTCCTTTCTTTATTGGAAAGAAGTTAAATGAGTTGACTAGATAAAAATAAATAAATAAATAAATAAATAAAAATTCAACATTCGGATTGATGAACTAAACCAATTAATTATATGAGTTGAGAGAAAATCTCTTATAAATTCGCAGTAAAAATAAATAAATCAAACCTCATTTCCTATGTACAAGAGTTAAGTGAAAGCAAACATAAGCAGGTGAGGCTTTTTACCCTAAGATTGGTTGATTGGGTATCATGTCTTGAAGCGGCTCAAAAGATCAAGTGTACGGTGTTTTTATTATTTATTATCATACATGTATTATATTGGCTGATTGAGCAAACATGAGTGGATGGTTAGGAACACCAAGGTAAAGGATTAGTAAAAGAGATTATGTAAGTTATCCAAGGGGATATTTCTGCATGAAAGGAATTTTAATAGTTTCATATTGTGGCCAGCAATCAAACATAAACTTACAACTCAGGACATACCTCTAAAATTTGGCTCCATTGATGCAACCAGCTGTGTTTTCTCCAGAATGCCTATTGAAGATCATAATATTTATTCCTTCAATGTCCTGTCCCAGCCAGAATTTGGTCATATCTCAAGTAAATACAGCATCCTTAGACCTAGACCCTATTCAGATCTGGGTATAACTGTAATTCATAGCCTCATAGGATGCTTCATCTCTCAAGGACAATTTTCCCACATTTTAACCTTCAAATTAGCTCTGACCCCTACTGTCTATCACCTACTACTGGAAAATGACTACAAAGACAAACATAGGTCAATGAATTCTCTATCAAATGCAAACTTGCCTCCCACAAAAAGCTGCCAAGGAATGGCCTCTCCAAGCATATTTTCACCACGTGATATCTGTCCAACTCATGTTGATCAGGCCCTGATAAATATAAGGATGTTCTTTTTTGCTAAGTTGATGCATTCTCTATGCTGCAAGTCATTATCTTCTATGTTTCTCCCCTTAAGTTGTTTTCCATAGTCTTTGCTCCTGTAATATAGGGCGTATGTCCCACTTGATCCGCGTACATATTTTTTGGTCTAATAAAATCTAGCTTATCAATTAAGAAACACATTAAAATTAACATTTCATTTTATAAACTTCCCAATCATCTCCAGACTGAAAAATCGCTGACTTATTGACCATTTAAAAAGAGTCACCAAAACATACAAACAACCTCAATCATCTTACAGTAATTCACTGAGAAAATTCATTGACAAATACACAATTCTCACATAACAAATATACAGCAAGTTCCACCGGTCTTTCACCTTAAAAATTTTATACATGGGCAATAAGAGCTGAGGTATCCATCAGCAGCATCACTAAAACTTTGTAAAACAAAACAAAGAATCATTTACCATTCATCAGAACTAGAAGCTAAAATGAAACGCAACTAATTCTATCCTATTTTATCAACGGTAAAATAAAAAAGTAGAAGAAGACATTGCGCATTGCCACTATTTAATTTTGAGGGAGTGTGTGATTTCGACTGTTTGTGTGATACACAAATATATATATAGACACACACACACATATGCAACCAAAAAAAAAATTCCCCAATACCTGACCTGAACATTATAGCCCGAATCATCGGATTTCAAGAGCGCCAAGGCTCCAGAAAGATCTGGGTCGATGCCAATTACCCATTCATTAGTGGGTCGAAGGTGGGTTTTGTCAGTGGAAAGTGAAATATTCTCCTGAGGGTCGGGGAAGGGGCAGGTGAGAGAATCCAACCAGTTTTCTTTCAGCAGAGCATCAGAGACCTTATTACGACCATTAGCCTTCACTGGTACTCTTCCACTGTCACTCCTCAACACACTCTTTCTGCTGCAACTTGGGACGCCAATTAGCTCTTCACTAGTACTGCTTGTTAAATTTGGGCATAAAGACGACGCCGACGACGACACGCAAAAACTCCTTCTAAATATACCAAAACTTGAGCAAAGTGTTGCTCGTAATTTAGCACAAATCGGAATCATCAAATTCGATTCTGAAGCTAGTGGTTGCCACTGGATTTGGAGAACTTCCATCAAAGTAGAGAATCGGAATGAGTGCGAGAGAGAGGAGAGAGTACAGTTCACATTGATTGTTGGTTTAGCCAAATACGCTCACTATGCATTTGATAAGCGCCGCTTTTCTTTTGAATCCTCAAAACAAAAAATGTTGGGCTGGTTCAAAACAAAAAACCGGGGGTTGGGCTTGTTGAGGTGTCAACCCCAAAGTTAAAAGAAATCCCAACCCTATCCTTAACTCACAAATTATCAGATGTTCTTAGAAGATTTAATATTTAGTGAATTAATTGAATGATAATTAATATTGAACTTTTTAATAATATATTTATACACGGTCGTTAAAATTATTTTCTCAATTAAAGAGTTTGAAATGAACTGATCATATAATAATTTCTTGAACTCAAACAAATTGAGTGTGTTGGAATTGGAATTTTTTTTACCAATTGCTTTGTAGATTTCTTCTACTTTCTAAATTGAATAGTACTCCCAAAGTGAATGGTGAAAATTTAATGTGTCAATTTTATCTAATTTTAAGCCAACAATTTCATGCTATAAAATGTATGAAAGAGTTTAAATTGAGTTTTGAATTTAAAATCAGATATTTTGTTCCAAATATTATATCGAGTTATATAAATAATTATGAGATTACATTTATTTTGAATTTCACATCTCGATCCCACAACTACAAATCTATATCCAGAGATAATATCTTTAATTTCAAATCACTTTAGAATTCAATCAAAAAGAGAGTCTATCATTCTCTCGACTCTTTTTTATAGCAAGAGAACTCAAAAATCAAGCCTAGCAAGTGATTGAAGAAGATTACCTACTCTAAGAGCAGGTGCAGCGGCTTGTTTAAGCCCCAATTTCGCGAGGAAAAGACCCTTTAGACACACAGCAGCCCAACTAAAGTAGGCGGGACCCACTAGCAATCGCGGGCCGGCTCGTGGTATTCAGCGAGCCGGCCCGTGATCGCTGTTTTATTTTTTTTGTTTTTTCCTCCATTTTGCATTAGCCCTTTTTTGTTTTTTCCTCCAACGGCAGTGCACAGTGGCTGAACAATGCCTTAAGGCACTATTTGGCAAATTTTTTTTTTTTTTTTTTTTTTTGATAAAACCTAAAAATAGATTATTTAGAGCTCTTTTTTTAAAAAAAATAAAATAAAATAAAATTCATTAAATAAAAAATATGTTGTTTAGGCACTTTTTATCCAAAAAAAAAAAAAAAAAAAATTATTTGGGTCAAAAATAAATTAAAAAACCTTTTTTTTTTGTTTTTTCCCCTTAAAATTTGGTTTTTTTAAAAAAAATTTTGCTTTAAATTTTAAATGTGTACCACAAATAGTGTATTTGACTGTTAATGCACTGTTTGGCTAACATAAACAGTGCCTTAACGCCTATAATTTAAAAAAAAAAAAAAAAAAGTTTAAAAATTCAAATTTTTTTTACTTTATTCAAAAAAAAAATTTAATTAAAAATTTTAAAATCTCTATAAATACCCCAACTCCTACCATCATTCATCACATCTAACACAACTCTATTATCTACCATTCAACTTATTTCTTCTTCTATTTTCTCAATCTTAACTATTATTTTCAAACTTATTTCGATTACATGGATCCTTAACATCCATTTTATTACAACACCCAATTCAACCCATCAAAAGATGAGTTTTTGTCATTTCCCGAAGACAATATCAATTATTATGAAGAAGATTCTCAATTTCCTTCACATCAACATCAACCATTCCAAACTTCTCATCAATATTGTGGTACTAATGTTCCACAATCAAGAAACTCAAAACCCTACCTTCCTAAAAAAAAAAAAAAAAAGAAACTCAAAACCCCCGCCAAAACAACCCGTTATCCGACATAATAATTGGACCAAGGCTGAAGATAAGGCTGTATGTTGGGCGTGGATGTCCATTACCTTTGATGCGATTACGAAGGCAAACTAAAGTAAGAAGAAGTTATGGGAGTGAATTCTGGAACAATATGTACAACATATTGGTGTTCCTCCAACTGAGCGAAATGATGGAGGTTTGATGAATCGCTGGTCGGTGATCCAACAAAAAATTAGCAAATTTTTTGGGTGCATGACTACCATGGAAATGAATCATCCTAGTGGCTGATGTAGTGATGATATGGTGAGTTCTTTATTGTTTAAATATAACTCGTAAATATTTTAAATAGTCGGCTTTTAATTTTTTATTAACTTTTTTCGTGTAGATGATAGCGGCTAAAGACCTGTTTCATAGCCAAACAGGTGGTGAATTTAAGTTAGAAAGTTGCTGGGAGATCTTGAAGCATAACAATAAATGGCATTCACATTGTGCCGAACAAGTAGAAAAAGGAAAAAAGAAAAAACAGCCGAAAAAGATGAGTGGATTTGAATTTGACATTAATGAGTCTGCTGGGCACTCATTACCATCTACTCCGTCAAGTCATGCAGTCACGACAGAAGGAGCTTCAACTGAAGAATCACCACACGCAGGGGAAAATGATTCACCTGGTGTGGAAGAATATCAACAACTACAAAGACCAGCAGGAAGAAAAGGGCAAAGCAACGCCGAGCAAAAATTAATTTAGCGAATGACTTGCAAACTTCATTCATTTTGAATTCTAATAATCTCACCAGCCGTTATGAGAGTCGTCATGAGAAAATAAAGGATGCCTAAGTGGCACGAGAGGTAAGAAAAATGGAGAAAGAGAAGACGAGGGCAGCAAGAGATTCTAGAAAAACAGAGACTTGAAGAGAAGAAGATCATGTTAACAGATCCAAATTCGGCACCAATAGAAGCGGGGAAAGCTTAGATTATTGCACGACAAAATGAGATATTGGCATCTTTGAATTCACGGTCCGCCCCAAAATTCCTATAGGATTTTGTAATCCTTGGTCTATTTATTTTCTTATCCTAATTTAGGATATTGTATTGTTTAAATTATTTTTAATTTTTTTGTTTAATTTTTTTTTTAATTCATAATGGATAATGTATTGTTTCAAGTTACAATATCAATCGTAGTTTTTTTTAATAATTTGTAAAAATATTGCTTGATTGAAAAATATTGCCGTTGAGAAAATATAGCCGTTACAAATATAACCGTTAGGAATATTGCGGTTAAAAATATAGCCGTTAACAAAAAAATTTAAAAAATAATAATTATATATATATATATATATATATATTTTATTCAGAGCGAAAATTCGGAGAGCCTGATGGAGTACATATTTCTGGAGAGCAAAAGTTGCTGACATGGCTCTTGGGATTGCTGACGTGACTCTTAGAAAAGCTGAAGTGGCCTTTTTGGAGAGCCAAAATCCGAAGAGGCTGGTACAGATGGCCTAAAAGTTGCTGACATGGCTCTTGAAATTGCTAACGTGGTTAAGGCCATCTACACCAGCCTCTCCGGATTTTGGCTCTCCAAAAATGCCACTGCAGCTTTTCCAAGAGCCACGTCAACAATTCCAAGAACCACGTTAGCAACTTTCACTCTCCAGAAACATGCACTCCATCAGGCTCTTCGAATTTTCGCTCTCCAAGTGAATATATATATATATAAATTTAAATTTTCCTAACGGCTATATTTTTAACCGCAATATTCTTAACGGTTATATTTGTAACAGCTATATTTTCTCAACGACAATATTTTTCAATCAAACAATATTTTTGCAATTTATTAAAAAAATTAGGATTTATATAATAACTTGAAACAATACATTATCCATTATGGATTAAAAAAAAAAAAAAACAAATTAAACAAAACAATTAACAATAACTTAAACAATACAATATTCTAAATTCGAATAAGAAAATAAATAAACCAAGGATTACAAAATCCTATAGGAACTTTGGGTTGGACCGTGAATGCAAAGATGCCAATATCTCATTTTGTCGTGTAATAATCCAAGTTTTTTCCGCTTTTGTTGGTACCGAATTTGGATCTGTTAACATGATCTCTTTCTCTTCAGCTCTCTGTTTCTCTAGAATCTCTAACTGCCTCGTCTTCTCTTTCTCCGCTTTTCTTTCCTCTCGTGCCACTTGAGGCATCCTTCATTTTTTCCTGACGACTCTCATAATGGCATTTGATATCATTAAAATTTGAAACGAATGAATTTTGCAATTCAAATGCTGAATTAATTTTTGTTCAGTGCTGTTTCGCCGCTTTTCTTCCTGTTGGTCGTTGTAGTTGTTGATATTCTTCCACACAGGATGAATCAGTTTCCCCCATGTGTGGTGATTCTTCAGTTGAAGCTCCATCTGTCGTGGCTGCATGACTTGATAGAGTGGATGGTAATGAGTGCTAAACAGACTCATTAATATCAAAGTCAAATCCACTCCTCTTTTTCGGCTGTTTTTTCTTTTTTCCTTTATCTACTTGTTCAGCACAGTGTGAATGCCGTTTATTGTTATCCTTCAAGATCTCCCAACAACTTTCTAACTTAAATTCACCACCTATTTGGCTACGAAAATAGGTCTTTAGCTGCTATCATCTATACAAAAAAATTAACAAAAAATTAAAAGCCGATTATTTAAAATATTTACGATTTATATTTTAACAATAAATAACTCATCATATCATCACTACTGAAGCCGCTGGGATGATTCATTTCGATGGTAGTCATACTGTAATGACCTAGTCATTTTCCTTCCTTTCTTTTTTCTCAAATTTTACGAGTAAATTTTTTCCGTTTAATTTTCTTTTTCGAATTCTGTTTCTCATTACTGGGTGTCATCTCGAGTGCTTGGAAATGGTTTCGAGACTCTTTCATTTGGATTGATAACTTCTTTTAAGGACCGAGTCATTTTCACATTTTCACTTTTCGAACACTATTCATTTTTCGTCTTTTTCCCTGTTTGTCACTTTTGGCACAACCTCACTTTTCATGCTCGAAGTTGGTTTTTGACTTCATGTACCTTCATCCTAAGTGGTTTTCACGAAATATGTATCTTTACTTTTATAGAAAAGTATTCTGGTTGCTCCTGGTGTCTATAGGGGTATGGATGTAAAGTTCTTCAGAAATATTTTCTTTTCTTAGGGTGTTTTTGATAAATATCTTTTGGAGATATTTTATTTCAGGGGTTTTTAAGAAAATACTTTTGGAAGATATTTTCATTCTGGGTCATTAATGCAGTTAACTCTTTTTGGAGGGTCCATTGT